CCCCCTCCTCCTCCTCCTCCTCCTCCTCCTCCTCCTCCTCCTCCTCCTCCTCCTCCTCCTCCTCCTCCTCCCTCCTCTCACACCCTCCCCGCCGGGAGAAGAGCCCACGGGGAGAGGGCCACGCCGCGCCGATCCACGGGCCAGGCCCCTGCAGGCCTCGTGCGCTCGGTGCACGGCCATGGGAACGAAACGTGGCATAAACATAGCTCGGACGCCAAATCGACGCCAACTCGACGCTTAACCGGACGCTAGCTCGGCGCTACCTCATCGACTCCAGAGGCTCATCGACGCCGATCCACGCTGAAGACGGGGAATTGGGAGGGTACACCAGCTCCCATGATTCAGGGGGCGAACAATGACATAAACATAAAAACTCGGAGGTCGGCGCGGAGTTCTCGGATCCGCGCTGGACCCCCCTGGCGGCGCCTCCGGCGCCGCCCCTGGCGCGCCCCGCGCGCCAGGGAGGTTCCAGCGTGGATCCTTGAAATCCGCGAGGACCTCCGAGTTTTTAATGTTTGTGCCATTTTTCGTTCCCATAGCTCGGTGCACGGTAAGTCTCCGTGTCCATGGCAGCCCCTGCGCTCCAGCCAACCCGTATCATGAGGACGCACAGTGCGGATGCAAGGGCCTTGGGAGGCCACTCTGAAGCTTCTCGAGCGGGGCGCGGCCAGAGGAAGTGGCCAAGGATGGACCGAGGAGGCAAGGATGCAGGGGTGCCCTGGAGCAGGTTGCCCATACCTACTGTGCGGGTTGACTGTAGTTTTTGGCACCGCGTGGATGGTTCAGCCTGGAAAGATCGGCAGACTCTCGATCGCCCGATCGTTCCATGCCGGTCGATTCTGGGCCACTGGCGGCGTGCAACCTTGAACGCCCGCGGCGGGGTCGCCGCCGCGTCGACACGACGCAGGCCAGTCGCCCCGCACTAGGAGTCGATATGTTTTTTCTCAACCATCCTGTGGTGTTGGGTCCTCGTTTTGAAGAGACGGTCCCCGCGTTCCCTCCTTCCTTCCTCCTCCCCCTCCTCCGCGTCCGGCGCACCCCTCACACGTCTCGTGGCCCCATTGGGAGCTCCACCGAGGTCCCCAACGGCAGGGTCCACATGGCGTACCCGCACCCGATTCGGCGCACCCCTCACACGTCGCGTGGCCCCATTGGGAGCTCCACCAAAAGATCCAGCGGCAGGGTCCACATGGCGTACCCGTGCCCGATTCGGCGCACCCCTCACACGTCTCGTGGCCCCATTGGGAGCTCCACCGAAGGCCCCAGCGGCAGGGTCCACATGGCGTACCCGCACCCGAACCGGCACACCTTTTACACGTTCCATTTCGGCGTGCACCTGGTACGTTTCGTGGCCCCCTAAGTAGCTCCACCAGAGGCGGTATTCACAACTGCGGCACTCACAACTGAAGATGGTTGGGTCCTTCGCCAGGCTAATGATTTGAGCGTTGGAGTATCAAGGCGTTTCTGCACGTCCTAAGCCAAGATCCTGACCCGAAGTCCAACTCGTCCTGCGTCATCGTTTTCTCCTGTGGTTGGTGCCTTCGACTTGTTGCTGGAATTGCTCTATTCCTTGGATCCCTAGGACTGCGCCTGCAGGCTATATGCTCAGCCTTCTCGCGACCAAACCGGCCCAATTGTACTTCGATGCTAGACGTCGTTGCCGCCGCGGGGGGAACCTGCACAGGAAACACCAATCCCTGTTTGGACGCCCGAAATGGGTACGGAAAGAATGGATGCAATGCCCAGCAACAAATGTTGTCCCAACCCATCAGCGGCCGCTGTTGGGCAGGCGGCTTTCTGTCTCGAATGGACACAGGCCGCGGCGACACCGACGGCGAGTCCTGTTCAAAATGAACAGGAACTGCTGCTGGGCATTGTACCCATTCTTTCCGTACCCATCTCGTTCGTAACGAATGGCGTTCTCTCTTCTTCGATACCCTGCGCTGCACGGCTTCTAACCAAGGGCTCCCAACTTCGCGCTTCGCGCTGCGCGAAGCGCGAAGTGCGAATACCTTCGCGCTCTCGCGCCGCCTCCCAGGGAAGAAGCGGAGAATGAGGCGGAATCGGAGCCGAACCGCGAAGCGCGAATAACTTCGCGCCCTCGAGGGCGCCCTTGCCCGTACCACTAGATCGGGCACGTCCCCCCAGAGGCGGATGTTGGACGCAATTGAAACAGATGCCAACAAAGATCCCCCGAGTGGACGCACCTGCCGCCGCGGGGAGAACCTGCACCGGAGGAGGCACCAATCCCTGGGCCCAGGCTCGGCCCGCCCAGGATCGGCCAGGTGGCCCCCCGCGACGGCTACACCCTGTGTGGGCAGACCTCAACGCGGCAGGCGCTCATGGAGCCGCTCTCCCCCAGCGAATCCACTGGTGAAACTTTCTGATCTCAGTCGAAAAAAACCTTTCGTGGTGCCTCAACGCCTTGGCGCAGCCGCCGAGACGTGTCTTGCACAACCTGGCTGGGCAATTGAGCAACTGGGGCCACAAGTCGCCTGAATGCGCCCGGTGGTCACAGCTTGCTCAGGCCGGATCCATCCGCGTGGTTGACACGGATGCTTCGGGACAGACAGGCTGGTCTTACCATCTGTGTCCCCACCCCCCCACCCCCCGATCCTGGCGGGGCTGGGGCCGCGCCCCAGGTGCCTGCGCAGCGCGGCGCACGCCTCGCGAGCAGGAGGCCGGCCACGCACCACCGTGCATGGAAGGCTCGTAGATTTAGGTCGGGCCTGTCCCCCATACAGGGGGCTTTTGGACGACGAATTCAAAAAAAAGTAATCAAACAATACCCTAAAATATTTGAGAATGGTCAAAAAATCGTCCCCAGACTATTTTTTGCCTATTTTTGAATCTTCCTCCTGTAGAGGGACAGGCCCGACTTAATCGTAGATCTACGAACAGTCAAACTATTTTTCGCAGACTCGATGAACATTCCAAGAAGATGCAGATCGGGCTCGCAAATCTACGAACAATGGCGGATTCCGGAAACTCTGAAACACAAAAACGATTTCATCTTTTGGGGACACATCTTTTACTTCCGCCGCCTTCCGCTGGCCTTCCGCACGCATCCGCCGGCTTCCGCCAGCGGAGGCGGCCTCGTTTTACTTCCGACGACCTTCCGCCGCCTTCCGCGGAGAAGGAGGTGATATGTCTTCCTATCCTCGAAAACAAGGCCCGTGTTCCAACGCCCCACATATAATGCTCGTAGGTCTACGAACAGCCCAACTATTTTTCCTGGACTCGACGACAGCTTCAAGCTCGGGATACTTCAATCAACTCTGTGGTCGATCTGCTGCTCGAGCCTCGTCGGCCTCCGCGGTGACCCTCTCCAGCTCCGCCCTGAGCGCCCTGAGCTCCTCGCTGTCCGCCACAGGCGCGGGCGCTCCCGCTGCCGCGGCGTCCCCCGCGGGAGCTCCGCAGGGCACCCCCGCCGCCTCGCAGGGGCCCTCCGCCTCCCCGTCGAATCCGCGCGCTCGCCGCAGCTGTGCCTCCAAGGGGAGGCTTCCACCTGTACGCGCGCCTGCGCCGATCCTGGCCAGGCCCGTCCTAGGCCCAGGATCGGTGTCTGCGCCCTACCTCCTTCCTTGGCCAGAAGAACGTAACACACGTGTGTGTGTGTATGTATGTATACACATATATATATACATATATATATATATATATATGTGTACACATATGTACGTATATAGCACACACATATTTATACGTGCGCATACAGAACGCAAAACACCTGCGTGTCAATGTATGCAGGTGTTTGTGTATAGATGTACGTGTATATATATATATATGCACATGTATATGCACATGTATGTATGTATGTATATTTAGATGTGTATATATGTAAATGTCGACACCTGTAGGCATATATGTGCATACATCCATATACACATACAAACAAACAAACAAACAAACAATTAAACAAACCAACGAACAAACAAACAAACAAACATACATACATACATACATACATATCTATATATATAGATACCGATCCTGGGCCTGGAATCGGTGTCTGCGCCCGCTCTCAAGCCCTGGCCAGGAACGCGTGCACACCGGTCTGGGGCCATGGCTCTCGCCCCGGGGCCCAGGCTTGGCCTGTGCGCCCTCCCTCCCGGCCTTTCCAAGGGAGTGTGCACGCCGAGCCCTGCGCCCAGGGTCGCCCTGGCCAGGGTCGGGGCCCAGACGCGCGACGCGCTGACATGTTCAACACGGGGTCCCTCCTCCTCCTCCTCCTCCTCCTCCTCCTCATCCTCCTCCTCCTCCTCCTCCCCCCTCTCCTCCTCCCGACCTTTCCCCGAAGCCTCGCTCTCATCCCGGCGAGAGGCCCGGGACCCGGTGAGGGCCCCCGAGGCCGAACACGGCCCAAGCCCAAAGCCTCCCGGCGTGGCTTCCCTCACGACGCGATCGTGTCTGGGTGGAGGTTTACGTTGTTCCCATCGTGCTCGAGGACCACGCCCCAGAAATAGTTTCTCGGGCCGGGCGAAAAGGGGGGATAGCAAAGGGGGGGGGGTGAGAATCAGCTCACGTAGCTGATTTTCTCGGCGCCTCCCGGCGCCGGAGGGGCGGCTACGTATCAAGGAGTGGGCCCGTATGTGAGGCCGAAGCCAGCCGCATGCAGCAGATTGCGTAACCCCCCCTTTCCCAATCCCCCCCTTTCGCCCGGCCCGAGAGGACCACGCCCCATAAATAGTTTCGAGCACCCAGAAGAGTATCGAAACAATGTCGAACGAGTATAGCCTCCCAGGGCGAGGCGAGGCGAGGCGAGGCGAGGCGCGCTGTGTCCGCGGGCCAGCCGGCGGGCCCCTCAGGAGCAACGCGGGTGGGCCGGAGCCCTCAGAGGACGTGTCAGGGGCAGGAGTCGGAGCCGGAGCCGGGGTCGGAGAGAGGAGAAGAGTGGGAAGAACACGTAGAGGAGCCAGAGGCAAAATTGAGAGCAGGAGTCGGAGTGTAAGGGATATCGCTAGAATACCTTAGTCGGTTCGTGCCTTCGAAAAGGTCGGGATCGGATGCTGGAGGCCGCCGGACGGAACGTTGTTCTGCCGGAGGCTCTTGGTCAACAGGAGCTTGAAGAAGAGGTCGGGCAGCAGCGTCTTGTAGTAGAAGTGGTTGTGCGGACTCCTGCGATAGGGGTCCGAACTGGTCCTCGCGGTAGTCGTAGAAGCGATAGCACTCCGGGCGTTCAGCTCCATGGTCCCCGGCGCCGGAGTCAGTCCCAATGTGGGTTGATGATGGCAGATGCCCGTGCCGACAATGATCCGGTACAGGTGGAAGTAAAGAAAGGCACGACTCGTCGGTAGATTTGCCCGCTCCTGCCGAATCCGTAACAGTGGAGAAGTGATAGCCGTAGTCGGAGGTTGGAAGAGGAATGTTGGAGTCATAGAGATGACGTGTTGGGGGGGGACGGGTAGCTTTGCCCCGGTACCCTGTGACGTCACCGTGGTAGCTGTAGGTATCAAAATGCCTGTACTCGTCGATGGAAGCGGCTCCGGTGCTGATCTGCGGCTTCATCAGCACCAGCCGGATATCCTACTTAGAGACCGTTCCCTTCGATAGGCCTTTCGGGTTGCCCTGCATGCCTTTGGCAGTCCGCGTCAATAGGGTGCCACATTTTTCCGTAAGCTTTTGAAGCTGAGGATGGCTATGGGATTCCTCCCACGCTCCCCAAGATTCCGCCCAATCCCGCTTCAAGTGATTCCCTTCTGTGGTGATGGTGATGGCAAGCTCCCCGCCCACATGCACCTGGTAGGGATTCTCGTCGATAGCGTTGATTGTATACGGTAGTTTCATCGTCTCCTTCAGCATGTACTTCAAGCCGAAACAAACATTCCGGGCGGCCCGTTCCGTAGGTGCACGATTTGGTGTAGCCCACACATGTTTGTCGCCACGTGTCAACTTCTGGCTCCTGACGAGTGCTACGGCAGTGTCACGGTCGAAGATCGAATCGAATTCGACAAATCGGATATTCTCAGTATCGCCCTTCGTGTACATGTTGCATGGAATGGGGCCGTCGTTCGTCGTAAACTTTTCACGTGTCCACTCCGATGGTGTATTGTTCATGTCGAAGCCCTCTAAGTTGCCAAAGACCCCAGTCACCGCGCGTTTGCCCTGGACGTGGTAGGCGGTCGCCGACGTCATGGTGTTGCCGAGTGCTCCTGGAGACGCTTTCCCCTGCAACTTGGCCACCTCGCGTCCAACTCGTGTAACTTGTCCCCAATCGTGGAAGTCATGCTGGGGGCTGCCCCGGAAGCTGCCGATAAAGGTCTGGAAGTTGAATAGTTAGTCTCACTTGCTACCACACGCGAAGTAAGGTCGTCGACAGCCGATTGTAAAGGTGATATCCTCTTCGTCAGATCTTCATGAGAAACACCATGTCGCTTAATCGCCGCAGTGTCAGTCTAAATCGGCTCCAGCTGCTCCTGCACCATGCGTGACAACATACCTGCTGTTAGGGGGGCATTGTCTGAAGCTGCGATTTCCAGACGCTCTTGAATTTGTGCCTGTTGTTCCTTGGTGCCGTCGTTCACGTTTCCGACGCCATCTGCGGCAATTCCGGCTGCGTCGTCCAACACGTCCATCTCGTGCAGCGGGCTGTTAGTCCTCAAATGCTTTGCCTTTGGCCGCGTTGGAGTACTGAGAGAATGACGTTCCGGCATCCCCGCCCAGAGTGGTGGCACGAGAAAACCGAATATATTGTAGTAGAAAGTGTGAGGGAAGTATGCCTTGAGGGAAGTATGCCAAAACTTGAGCCAATCTTGAGCCTTCCAGGGCCCGACACGTGAAAACCCTCCGGTTTCGGTACTTTCTTGGTGCTCAAAATTCTCTCCGGTGGTCTCAAGACTAAAGTAGGCTGGAACATCAAGTGTAGGTGTGCAGGTTGGCGCCTCCCGGCCTCGAGCCGCTCGTCGGGTGCCGAAGACGCCGAGGGCGTCTTCGCGGCGCCCGCCGCGCTCTGCACGAGCAGCAACGACGACTGCGCCGCGGGCCGCGGGGTGAAGTCCAACCACCTCAGGGCGACGAGATATGTACGGTGGAGGCCAATCCACAAGAAACCTTCCACAAGGAACCCAACCTTGAGACTCCCGGGCGTCCATGGATTTTTGGCGTCGGGACGTCGCGCTGTCCACCGCAAAACCATCGAAACCCAAGAAACCCAGGGCACCCTGGAGGCAAGCAGGGTGTTCCTTGGCCTGGGCCCCCACTGTACACATCCACCGCCCCATGCCTGGCCCGTCATCGGCAAGGGAGCAGTACACACGCCCTCCTGGCATGGCCAGCCAGGGATTGGGCGTGGCTTCATGGGGGGGTCATCGATGGGGGGGTCAGAAACGGTCCCTTCTCGTGCCCCTTTCGGGCCCCTCCGGAGCCCCAGGGGGCTCGTTTAGATACTGCTTGGGTACCTTTTCGGACCACCCTCGCCACACCCTCATTTATGACCCCGCATCACGTACGCAACGCCCAAAGGAAAACACATACACCGCTCCCGGGCCCAGGCGGGGCCAGGCCCGGGGCAGTGGACATGCACAAACCTCGAAGCCCCACACCTGGAACCGTCGGCCGTTCGGTTCCACCAGTAGCGCTCCGCCACGAAGTTCTCGCCCACCGGCTCGTCGAAGGCAGGAGGAGAGCCGCCTGCATGAGCACAACCTTTCGGAAGCCCGCGCAGCTTCTTGCATCGGCGCTCGCCCCCCTCTCTGCGCGCGGAGGGCGCGCCAAGGGCGGAGCCGGAAGCGCCGCCAGAGGGGGGGGGTCCAGCGGCGATTTACGAAATCCGCACGGACCTCCGAACAGTTCTGCTCATGCAGGCTGCTCTTCTCCGAGAGGAGCTCGTAGATGGCGAAGCCGTGCACGACTGGCAGCCCGGCGCGCCTCTCCACCTGGGCGGCGCGCGCAGTGGGGCAAGAGGGCGGGGGATTGCCAGGCTTCCGGGAAGGAGGCCGCTTCTCAGAATGCGCGGGCCCTGTTTCCTTCGACACGGCCCGCGCCGTCTGAGAAGCAGGGGTGGTCCTCAGAAGCCTCCCCCCTCCCCCCATGCCCCCTTACTGCACGTGGCTGGCCACCTCCCGCGCGTTGGCGAAACTCTGCAGCGGCCGCAGGCGAAGCCCCGCGACCCGCGCCCTGTCGTCGGCGTCCGGCGCCCCCACCACGGACACCCGCTGCCCCGCGCAGCGGCCCTTTTTGCCCACCAGCGACTTGAGGGCCCGGCTGCTGCTGTAGACGGCCGGCCAATCTCGCGGGAAGCCCAGGGCGCCGAGGCTGCCGACCTATAGAGGCCTCCTGGATGGGGTCGGAACAGATGGGGTCGGAGGACCCCGCCGCATCGCCGATACATCGGCGATGCATCGGTGATGAACCAGCGATGCATCGTCGACATCGGCGAGGCATCGGCGACGCCGACGTGAAGCACTTCGGGGGCCACGTCGAGCCACATCGGTGCTGCATCGGCGCTGCGGCGCGATCCTCCGACCCCATCTGCTCCGACCCCCCCTGGGAGGCCCAGACGACCGCGCACGGCCCTTCCCTGGTCCACGCGATGCCGACCAGCCATAACTGGGGGAGCTGTGGCCCTTACCCCCCTGTGGGGAACCCATCGCGTCGACGACCTCTCGAGAGGGGTGTCGAAATCGATGTGGTCCCCCAGGGGGTCAATGCGGGATGACGATTAATTCGCCGGCCCATCGGGCCAGAGGCGTGCTAAGATCTCCAGTAACTACCTAACAGTATTTCTAATTCGCGCGCGCGGGGCGGCCCTGGGGACCCCCAGGCGAAAAGTACCCCGACCGCAGCCCAAGAAGGTCCCGGGAAGGTCTACTTAGAGATGGTTTTCCTCCTGGGTACGGCCTCTCAGGCCCCCCGAAGCGCGCCAACAGGGCCCCAAGAGGCCCCTAAGACTGCCCAAAAGGCCCCCGAGACGCCCAAAGGACGCTCCAAGACGCCGAAGATGATCCCACGACGGCCCAAGAAGCCGCCAAGACGCTCCAAGTGGCCTCCAAGAGGCCTCACAAGAGCGCCCCGAGAGGCCCAAATCATGAATTTTACGATGGTTTTGGAAGGATGTTGGCCTTGTCGCTTTTTCGGTTTTCCGATGCTCCAGGACGGCCCAAGAGGCCCCCAAGAGCGCACGAAGACGGCTCAAGAGGCTTCCAAGAAGGCCCCCAGAGAGCCCAAATGGGCCCCGAGACGGCCCAAGAGTCAAGACGGCCCAAGAGAGCCCCAAGACGGCCCCAAGAGGAGCCCAAGATGGGGACCACGAGCCGAAACCTCGAGCCCTCCGCCCCAAGAGGGCCCCAGGAAGCCCCGAGAAGCCCCCAAGATGGCCCAAGATGCCGCCAAGAGGCCCCCAAGAGACCCCAGGAGGCTCCAAGGAGGCTCGAAAGAGGCCCTACAAGGCTTCAAAAATGCCCCCCCAAGCGCCCCCGAACGGCCTCTCAACAGACCCCAGGGCCTCCCAAAGAAGCATCTGGACGACGGCCCTGTTTGGCCCCGAAAGCGCCGCAAGATGCCATCAAGAGGGCTTCCTCCTCCGCCCTTTTCTCTTCCTCCTCCTCCTCCTCCTCCTCCTCCTCCTCCTCCTCCTCCTCCTCCTCATATTTATATTCATCCTCCTCCGTTCTTTCTCATCCTCTTCTCCTCCTCCCCTCCCCCTCCCCATCCTCATCTTCCTCTTTCCGGCGGCGCCGAAATGGCCCCGAGCCCGCGCCGAAGTGGTAGCGATCATGCAATACGGGCCGGCGGAGTGGGCGAACCGGGAACGGCGCGTGAGATCCCCGCCGCATGGTCTGCACGAACTCAGTCCCCTCAATATGCGCGCGCACGAACTCCTCGTACCAATACACATTCCTCAGACCCCTTGCGACCCCTCCTGGGGTCCTCCCCGCGGTCTGCTCATTCCGCCGGCCCGGGGGCCACAGCTGCGGAATGAGCGCTCTTTGGCCATCACTTTCGTTTCAGAACTCATCTCGTTGGAAATGTTCGTCTTCAAGGCGCCGCCGGCCTCTCTCAGAGGCCTCTCCGGGAGCTCAATGACTCGATTTTGGAAGCCTCCAAACGCTCTCCTGGGGCGATCTTGGCCGTCCTCCAGGCCATTTTGGTCCAGTCTGGCAGCCCGCCCACCTCTCCTCGCCCCACTTCGACTACAAAAAACCAACATGCAAAAAAACCTCGTAAAACACAAATGATTATGTTCATTCTGGCCTTGTCGAGCCTCTATTCTTGCTTCGTTTCGAGCTCACGTGCGTCTTCGCGGGCTCTTGGAAGCACGTTGGAATCAGCGGGCGCTCTCTACGGCTGTCGTCCGCGCCTCCCGACCCCGGCCTGGGCCGTCTGGCAGCATTTTTTGGGTTTTCTTGGGCCGTCCTGGGCGCGCCCAGGGGGTCCCTGGAGTCCCTTTTGAGGCCCCAAAACTAACTCGGATCTCGTTTGTACGCCTCTCCGTATGCCTCTTCCTTTCGTCCACACTTTTGCACATCCTCAGGCGTCCTTTTTAAATCATTATCAGACTCTCTTAGGGCTTTCTGGCGTCTTTTAAACTCATTTTCCGCCATCCGCTCCGCGTTCCAAAAAAAAGTGGGGCGGCGGTGTCTGCCCCCTCAGGGGCGTTCAATTGAATTAGAAAATGGGAGACAAAGATTAAACAACAAGCTTTCTGCATTTCTGCTTAATTTTCTTATTGGAGGAAAACGATAAAAAATACTAGTTTTCCAGCCCGCGGCCGGTTTTTTCTAATCGTCATTCCGGGCGCCGCCGCGTGAACACGACCCCCGGTCATTTATTAATCGTCATCCTCCATTCAGGACCACAGCTCCCCCAGTTGTGGCTGGCCTGCGAAGTCGTCCTCCTCGAGCCACGGCCCTGCCTCCGGCCGCAACCCCGCCTTGGCGCCGGCGCTCGAGGGCCGCGCGCCCGCGCCCGGCGCGCCAGCGTCCGGGCGGCGCATGGCCGGGGCGGCTTCTCTCGCCAGAACGCCGCGAGTGGAGCAGAACAGCTGACGACGGCGTCCCCCTGCGCTGAGGAGGAGGAGGTGGAGGTGGTGGAGGACAAGGAGGTGGAGGAGGAGGAGGGGGAGGAGGAGGGGGAGGAGGAGGAAGAGGAGGAGGGAGGAAGATGGAGGAGGAGGAGGAGGAGGAGGAGAAGGAGGAGGAGGTGGAGGACAAGCTTCCTGCACCGTGCGCGCCTCGAGTTGCCGTCCCCGTCACATGTCAAGAGTAGCTGAAGCGATCGTAGTAGCAGCAGTGCTTTGATTCATGGTATGTATGGCTCACATGAGAGCAATAGCAACCACCGCCGCAGTAACGCTGTCTGTGAATGACTTTCTCAAGATTGACAATCTTGCCAGCATCAGTACTAATACTAATGGCGTGCTCATAAGCAACTGAAATCGTAGTGGCATGAACGGCGGCACCAATAGTAACGGCGGCAACGGCGGCACCAACATCACAAAAACCCTGACCAGGGAACCCTGGCCAAGGCAGCAACCATCTTCAACGCAGGCAGCAGCCTCCGAACCTCACGTGAAGGAGGAGGAAGAGGAGGAGGAGGAGCAGGAGGAGGAGGGAGGGGGAGGGAGGAAAACCAAGGAAAAATAAGGACGAGGAGAAAAGAGGATAAAGGAGGAGGGAGGGAGGGAGGGACGGGGGAGGAAGGGGGCAGAATCAGGAGGGATGAGGAACAGCAGGAGGAGGAGGAGGAGGCGGAGAAGGAGGAGGAGAAGGAGGAGGAGGATCGATCCCCAGACGACCCCCTGTGACTACATTGGACCCCCCCTGCTCCCCCTTGATCGCATGAGCACTCGGACCGACCGGACGACCAGACCGAACCCCAGCCGCGCCACGGGAGCCCGTGGCCGAATCGACCGAGCCCTCGCGCCGGTGCCCGGACAAAAAGTGTCCTCACCCATGGCGGGAAGGCGATGCAACATGATAACAACCACAACTGCGAAATGCCCTCACGTCGCACCCCTCCCCCCAAACCGAAAATTGAAATGTCCACGTTTTGTCCCTGGCCTTTGGCCTACCGCCTAAACCCGTCAACTTTGAATTTAGGGGAAGGGGGGTATACATGTTGGTCCGACGTACTTTAATGACTCAAGGTCTTGGCGAGACACGGGTGGACACTCTTAGTCCACCCGCCGGCGCGAAGACACACCTCGGCACGCGCATGCTCGAACCGACCGAACCGTGGACGGCCCTCAACGTTGCGAGGGAGAAAAATCGGCGGCGAGCCCAGGGGGGAAAGCGAGAGGGGGGGGTAGGCCTTCTCAGAAGGCGGCGACCTGGGCTCGTCGCCGAACTGGGAGCAGGAGGCGGAGAGAGTAGGAGGATGCGGAGCAGGAGGAGGAAGAAAGAAGATGGTGAGGCGAGCCGTCGCAAAGCAGCGGATGAGGAGCGCCCGGCCTCACCACCACACCCCGTAACGGCTCAGCGCTGGCACCACCGCTTTCATGGCTTCCGCAGCCTGCTCGAACGAGGACGCCTTGGTGACGACCATCGAGCCCCTTCGATGCACGCGCACACCCACGTCGTGGCCCTCCACCAACACCAGCGCCTCCTGGCCGTCGCTCTGCTCTACCCGCAAGCCCCCTATCGGAATAGCTCTGGCTGCGCCCGGCTGGCAGGTCGCGGAGAGCTGCTCCACGTCCACATTAAACGGCAACGCGCACATCACCTGTACGTTCTCCACCCGGTAGCGCTTGAAGCCAACGTTGGCGGAATAGCGCTGCTGCAGCAGCCGGGCAGCCTTCTTCGCCGCAATGCGAGCTTCCTCGTCGGGAAGAGTGGTGGACACGCGCACCTGGCCGTTGGCTTGGATCACCGCGCACCACTTGGGCGGCCGGAGCGAGCGCACTGTCACTCTGCCCGAGTCAGCGCCCAGCTCCGCGTTGGGAACCGCCGCCGCCAACGCCACGGGGTCCACCGGTGCGCCGAGGTTAAGGGAACTAACAATGACATAAACATGAAAACTTCAAGGTCCGAGCGGATTCCTCGGATCGGCGCTGGACACCCCTCCTGGTCGCGCGGAGCGCGCCAGGGGCGGCGGAGGCGCTGCAGGGGTCTCAAGCGCCGATCGTAGGAATCCGCGCGGACCTCTGGGTTTTCATGTTTACGTCCTGGTTCGTTCCCCGAGAGGTGGAAGCTCGCCCCGTGGTGCCTCACGCGCGGGTTCAGCAACGCTGCGGCGCCTTCCGCACTGCTGGCCTTAGTGGGCTCCGGAAACGGCAGGGTCGTTTTTCACCGTTTTCGAAAAAGTGTCCCTTGAAAATGGAAACGGCAAAAAAAACGGCGACCAGAAAAGGCAACAAAAACGGCTCCAGGATTGGAACCGGAGCGGGAAGCCGCGAAAGAACGGCGACGGAACTGGGAAAACAACAGCGTCGGAACCGGCAACAAAAAACGGCAACACGGAACCGGGAACAAAAACGGCCCCGTCGTCTCCGGGGCCCACTGAGCTGCTGGCGCCTAGGGTGATCGCGGCGGCCGCGAGCTGCCCCGCCGCGAGAGCGCCGTCAGCGGCGGCCGCGGGCGGCGCGTCGGCGGCGGTGCTGGCCGCCCGCACGGCCAGCGCCTGCGGCGGGTCGAAGGCGACGGCCAGCGCCTGCGGCGGGCACCCGTCCCGAGCGGGCCAGGCGCCGCCCGTGGGCACCATCGCCGCCCCCCGCGGCCGCCCCCAGAGCGCGCCCCGGCGGCGGCAGGCGGCGGCAGCCGCGGCCTCGAGCCGCTCGGCCAGCGTCGCCCCGCTCCCGCGCGTGTCGTGGAGAAAAGCGGCACAAATGTACGTACACTTGCTCGCAGGCGTCCCACCGACCAGTTCGGCGCACCCCTCACACGTTCCGTGGACACACGGTGGGCTCCACCGAAGTCTCCTGTGGCAGGGTTCACATGCGACCCCCCGCCCGGTTCGGCGCCCCTCTCTACAGGCTTCGTGGCCCCACAGGAGCTTCCCCCCTGCTTCGTCCCACGTGCCTTGCGGTATTCACACTTGCACATGGTTGATTCCTTTGCCAAGATAATTTCTCTGGCGGGCTGGCCACTGCCCTGGCGTAGCGACAGAAACAAATCCAGTTTGTTCCTGTCCCTGTTTCCCCAATCAGTGCTTGCACTGAAGGGGTCCTAGCGAATCTTGAAAGATTTGGCTACAATTCCGGGTCGATTTCAGTGGGCGATCGGGCTCCTGTATTCCCGGTTCTGGGTACCCGGGTTCCCGATTGCTGGTTCTAGGCCGAATTCGGTGGGCTACGGGGCTCACAGGTTTCCGGGCTTCCAGTCGATCTCCTTATCGATGTCTTTATCGATCTCACGATCGAACTCACTACCGATCTCATGGGCGATCTAACTATCTATTTCACTCTATCGACATCACTATCGAGATTTCATTGTCGATTACAAGACGTAGACAAACGCCCACCCCAACCCAACACGGCGACTTAACAAAATAGGGTCCCCCCGCTTTAGCCGGCCAACGCAGCGCAGCCCAACCCAGCAAGGTAACTTAACAAAATGGGGTCCCCCTGTCTTTACCAGGCTAATCCGGCCCACCCCAGCCCAGCACGGCGACTTAACACAATAGGGTCCCCCTGGCGTTAGCCGACCAACCCAGTACACACTAGCCCACCACGGCGACTTGACAAAATGGGGTCCCCTGGCTTTAGCCGACCAGCCCAGCCCACTCCAGTCCAGCACAATGGGTTAACAGTGGATGATGATGAGGAGGACAATCAGCATGGGGAGGAGGAAAGAAGGAGGAGGAGGAGGAGGGAGGAGATGCAAGGAAAATAAGGAAGCTGACGAGCACCCTCAGAAAAGAGGCCAACCACACGTTAAACGCCGCCCACCCCGGCCCACGCCAGCGAATTCACAAAATGGTGTCCCCCTGGCTTTACTTGGCCAGCCCGGCCCACCCCAGCCCAGCACGGGTCCCCATAGCGTTTGCCGGCCAATCCGGCCCACCCCAACCCAACACGACGACTTAACAAAATGGACCCCCTGGCTTGCACCGACCAGCCAGGCCCACCCAGTCCAGCACAGCGTTTTCACACAGTGGAGGAGGATAATAACATAATGGAAGAGAAACAGGGCTATATTAGGCCGTCGACGGGCCCTCTGAAGTCGTCTATCTTGGTGGCTTCTTCGGCCGTTTCCAACCGACGCATGCCCGATAAGGCGTGAATGCCACAACCCTTGCAAAACTGGCCAAGAATCAGTAGTTAGGGCCTCTTTGGACCCTACGGCGAAACTGCGGCCAGGTATGGTGCCTCCCAAATGTTCAAAGCATCCGCTGATATGTTTTTTGGTCTCAGGTGCAATGACAGAAAATTGCACTGGCGCAGGGATCGGGTTAGACAAGATAACCTGCACCACGGATGGAACAAATCGCCGAGGCATCTGACCACATCCCCAGCCCACCTGGAAGGATCTGGAGTGGACTCCAACGGGACCCAATCGCAGTGGCGGCAGGAACGCCTAGGGGAATCTCCTCAGCCTCTTTCACGGTCTGGCTTGAGCCCAAAGGGGTCGTCGGACTTTCTCCCCCCCGACTGCGTTGCCTCATCAAGCACGAGCTTCAAGCTGAACCGTCGCACTCGAGAAGGCAGAACACGTCCTGTCCTCGGGTGGTACATCGAGGCGGTACACCAGACCTCTGGTCCCGCAAAAGGGTAATGCAACCCTGACCCATAATCTGCCTCCGCCTCCTCCTCTGCCTCCTCTGCCTCCTCATCGGCCTCCTCCTTCAAACTCCTTCAAGCTGCGGAACGTCTGCCTCCAGATGAAACGCGACGCTCAGGTGAAGGGGGGGTGAATTAAGAGATGGTTGGGCGGAAGCTTCTGCCCACCACCCGGCTGGTGGACGGGTCCTTCCCCTCTCCGCCTCCTCCTCCTCCTCCCCCTCCCTGCTCCCTCCTCCCTCCTCCTCCTCCCTCCTCCTCCCTCCTCCCTCCTCCTCCTCCTCCCTCCTCACTTCTCCTCCTCCTCCTCCTCCTCCTCCTCCTCCTCCGACTCCAACTCTGCCTGCTCCTCCTGCTGCTCATCCTCCTTCTCCTCCTTCATCCCTTCTTCTTATCCTGTCGCACCCCGGGACGCGCTGGCAGGGCGGGCTGGGCGATCCGCCTGAGACTTCCGCGGCATGTGTGATCCTGAAGCTTAAAGGTCGCAACAACTTCACGGATGGAGGGCGGGCCGTTTTCGAAACGGAACCCTCGCCTTAGCGCCACGAACCTTCGTCTTAAACATTTGCATCCACTTCACGCATGGAGGGTAAGCCGTTTTCAAGATGTGGCTCTCGCCTTGGCGCCGCGCGCATTCGTCTTAAACATTTGCAACCCGTGTCCCGGATGGAGGGCAGGCCATTTTCAAACTGTGGCTATTGCCTCAGCACCGCACATATTCGCTTTAAATATAATCACAGCTCCACGGATTGAGGGCGGCTCCTTTTCAAAATGTGGCTCTCGCCTTGGCGCCGCGCAAATTCGTCATAAAAGTTTGCAGCCAACTCCCTCATGGAGGGCACGCCGCTTTCAGATTGGCTCTCGCGTTAGCGCCGCGCACCTTCGCTTTAAACGCGAACCACAGTTTCACAGATGGAGGGCGGCTCCTTTTCAAAATGTGGCTCTGTCCTTGGCGCGGCGCTCATTCGCCTTAGAGGATGGAGGATTCGCTGTGCAACAACTTCACGGATGGAGGGCTGCTCCGTTTCAAGATGTGGCTCTCGCCTAAGCGCCGCGCATATTCACTGAACGGTTAACAACAAGTTCGAGAATTCCTGTGGTCAAAATGCCCAAACTTGTGTTCTGATATGATTTGGGAACCTCCGGACGCAACAATCACACTGAATCGCGGTGTTGAAGTCCCAGGAACGGCGTTCTGGTACCATTTAGAACCGTCAGGGAGCAACAATTACGTTGATCCACGACGTTCAAGTCGCAGGTACGGTGCTTGCGCACGACCGAGAATTCTGGAACGATTGTCTTCTCATGGGCCACATCCCGCAATGAAAACAACGTTCTCAAGAGACCTAAGAAGAGGGAACTTTGAGGAGGCTTTACTGCAACGTCGTTGATACATCATGGGCTTGCACTGGTCCTCCTCCTCCTCCTCCTGCTCTTCCTGCTCCCTCGCGCTCTTCCCCCTCACGCCCCGTCGCGGTTTCGCGCGTCCAGCTGGGCAAGGGAAGCATCGTCCAGCCGCGGCCGCCTAAACGCCCGAGCTCTGTGCCGGCGGCGCGCAAGCGCAAGCTGCAGCGGACTGCAGCGGAAAAGGAAGCAGAATGGGGAGGGGGACGAGGAGGAGGACGAGGAGGAGGAGGAGGAAGAGGAGGAGGAAGAGGAGGGGGAGGCGGAGGAAAAAGTGGAGGAGGAGGAAGAGGAGGAGGGGGAGGCGGAGGAGGGAGAGGAGGGGGAGCGGAGGAGGAGGGGGGGAGAGGAGTGAGGAAGAGGAGGGGGAGGGAGGAGGAGAAGGGGGAGGGGGAGGAAGACGGCGACGACGACGCACAGGAAGAAAGAAAGGGGTGAGACGTGTGGCCCTCCGGCCCAGGCCGCAAGGCGTGGGGAGCGGGGACCTTCGCGCCCCCGGCCGGGGGGGAGCCAGAGGAGGGAGGGAGAACGACGCGGGAGAATCGACGGCGAGCGTCCTCCTCCCTCCTCCTCCTCCTCCTCCTCCTCCTCCTCCTCCTCCTCCTCCTCCTGTTCCTCCCTCCTTCCTCCTCCCTCCTCCTCCTCCCTCCTCCTCCTCCTTCCTCCTCCTCCTCTCTCCTCCTCTTCCTGTTCCTCCTCCTATTCCTCCTCCTCCTCATCCTCCTCCTCCATCCTCTCTCCTCCTCCTCCTCCTCCTCCCCTCTCCTCCTCCTCCTCCTCCTCCTCCTCCTCCTCCTCCTCGGGGGGGAGTGAGGAGGAAAAGGCCTTCTCCTGGCCATCGCCCGGACGTCCATTCTCTGTGCTTTTGTTCGGTCTCGTGTGTTTTTTCGCCAACTGATCAAGGGGATGCTCCTCGATGGTCCTCGCCGAAAGAAAAATGCACACCTCCGAGCAATGCCAGGTCTCAGAGGGTGGCGGGGCTTCTTAGAAGCCCCCTCCGGCCTTCTGAGGCATCGTCCGCGTCCTTCGGGGGAGGTCCGGGACCCTCCTCCTCCCCCCTCCCCCTCCTCCTCCTCCTCCTCCTCCTCCTCCTCCTCCTCCTCCTCCTCCTCCTCCTCCTCCTCCTCCTCCTCCTCCTCCTCCTCCTCCTCCTCCTCCTCCTCCTCCTCCCCCTCCTTCAGAAGGCCGGGGGAAGCCTTCTGAGGAGTGCCCGCCCCCTCCCACCTTTCCCCCAGGGCGCGCCGCCGATGCGAGGGAGAGGACGGCGGCGACGAAGAATACAGTAGGGGCGTTGACCTAAGGAACCCTAATAAGGAACGAGGCCCCTTTTTTTCCATAAGCTGAACTTCGATTTCGTATCGAAAACCTAAGGAAAGCCTGAGGCAAGCTGCGAAACACCTAAGGAACGCGGAGCCCCTCCCCAACGAAAAGGGTTCCTTCTTCAGGGCCCCGACTGTACAAAGAAGGGGGACGATATTTGAAAGGAAGAGGCTGGCACTGCTGCAAGGAGGGGCGCTCAGGGTCGGGCCTGGGCCGCGCTAGTCAGTGACAGAAGCCCCAGAAGTCCAGGAGGAGGAAG